TCATGGACGGAATCTTCTCCTGCTGCGGCGAAGAACGGGTGATGGTGTTCACGATGACCACCGGAAAAGATCAAATCGATCCAACTGTTCTCCGGCCGGGAAGAGTCGACGTCCATGTTCATTTCCCCTTGTGCGATTTCAACGCTTTCAAGAGCTTAGCCAACACCCACTTGGGCTTAAAAGATCACAAGCTTTTCTCTCATGTGGAAGACATATTCCAAACCGGGGCGAGTTTGAGCCCGGCCGAGATCGGCGAAATCATGATATCGAACCGGGCTTCCCCAAACCGCGCCTTGAAATCGGTTATCTCCGCCTTACAGACCAACAGTGAAGAAAGGACCGCTGCCCGGCACACCCAGAGGTTGACTCACATCGAGTCGGGTAGGGCCAATGACGACTTGGGTGAAAAGGGCATTTTCGGAAAGGAGGGAATAAAAGAGGCCCGAAAGTTGTATGGACTTTTGAGAATAAGAAGCTCCAGAAAAGAGTCTTTTGAAATTGATGCACCAGAGAAAGAAAACTCTAGGCATGGTAGTTGACAAAAGAGAGGTTAGAAGGCCGATTATTACTAAAAAGAAATAAATTAGTAGATTTTAATTTTAATTTCGTGATATTTATAGAGGTTTGCTACGCATGATTAACTTTGAATGTAGTTATTTTAGAAGGATAGTTGCCTTTAAATATTGTCTTTTTCTTGTATAAAAATCATTTGTTGATTCATGCTGAATTAGATTTTAGAGTACTCTAGAATTTATGCTAGAAAAGTAAAGAAGGGTATTTAATTTGCTAAATTTTAAAAAAAGTCTACCCTCTAGCCTCTTTTTTTCAAAAACATCTTTTATGAAAAACGGAGTAGGTTTTACTTCTTCTAAAAAGTTGTTTACCATAGCTTTCAGAATCGAATCAGAGACTTAACCAGCTATGTTACGTTACTATATATATATGTGTGTGTGTGTGTATGTATGTATATATATGTATGTATGTATGTATGTGTGTATATATATATATATATATATATATATATATATATATATAAAATGGATATCTGGACAGAGAACGCTAATGAACGGGGCAATTGTAAGAGCGATTTGGGCCGGTGTCGGGAAAGGCCCAGATATTGGTCAAGTGGCCCAAGTGTAATGTAAAGGGCCTGAACTGTGCAAGGACGTGGAACAATTAAGGGAAATGTGGTGAACCACCATGAGTGAGAAGTGTGCGCACGATGAGTGCCCATTATGTATATAACCGTAGGTAATATAAATAGAGGGAGAACCCTCCATTGTAATGTAAGTGAAAAACACTACAACGCAGTTGTTAATAGAAATATTGTGAGATTTATCAATTACCACTTGTTTCTTGTCATCGCCGTCATAGTTGTTGGGCTAATTTCAATCATTGGTGCTTCCATTGAGAGATTAAGTGTGAGAGATTGTGAGTTGATAATGTGGTCGACCGAAGGACGTGAAATTCTTGGCGCATTCTCAGTAGTCTTCAGCCACACCAAGAGTTCCTGAACAACCAATTGTTACACAGCCTTATGGCGTTGACATGGCGTTAAACAACCTTGCCAGCATGATAGCAAATGTTATGGACACACTTGAGACTCTTCCCAGCCCTTCTGAGATTCCGAGGCAGATTCACAGACATGACCAGATTAGATGAATCCCATTCTGCAGGAACTCCATGCTACAGAGGAGATCAAGCGAGAAAGAGAGGCGGTGAGAAGACGCTTCGAGTAAGAGTTGGCTCAGAACACCCGAGAGTGTGAAAGGCTAACCCGGGCAAAGACTCAAGACCCAGCTCTTCAAGCGACTACCGGCCAGCCGCGCCATGCGGAGACGGGAAACCCCAGGAGTTTAGTCTTTGACCGAATGACACAAGGAAGGATACCATTCAGCGCACGACTGGGAAAGAATCCGGAGAAAGCTCCACTTGGGTGGGAGCAACCCCATCCGAGTCACGTAGAATCGTCGAACTAGGACCCACGTCGTTCCAGGACAAGTGTAACACCCCGGCCCCCACCCTGGCAGTAAGTGTCTTCTCATAAGATTGTACACTGGCCCCAAACACCAACACAAGTCTTTTCCACACACTTTGTCCTCACTCATGCACGCTCAAGGAAAACTTCCCAGGGGGTCACCCATCCTAAAATTGATCCAAGTCAAGCATGCCTCACTTTGGAGTTTTTAATTAGGTGATGAGCTCTCGAAAAAAAGATGCACCTTATTGGTATGAGTAGTACTATCAATCCTTTTTTCGCTCTTCACACTCCCATCTTAATCCCATCTTAATACGTGGTACTACATTCACCCCCACTTAGGAATGCAACGTCCTCGTTGCATCCTTTTTTAAACCCTTAGATCTTCCCTACTAGGTGAACTAAGCTCTTTTGGTCCGTCAAGTTCACAGGGTTGCTTTGATATCATTTGTTACACCCCGGCCCCTACCCTGGCCATAAGTGTCAGCTCATAAGATTGTAGACTGGCCCACAAACCAACACAAGTCTTTCCCGCGTACTTTGTCCTCACTCATGCATGCAGTGATCACTCCTCACTTTGCGTTACCTCTATCATTTCTAAAATCAAAGTTGTGATTTAAAGAGTCTTGTATAAGCTTTTTTCGCCATATATGATTGATTTTTATGCTTGACCTACGTGTCACTCTATTTAATTTGACGTTCTCTATGGTTTTTGGCTGTTGTAAACCACTTGATGTTCGAGGATGCTCGCCCTATTTGTATTTTTTTCTCTGGGTCGTAAGATTGTTTAAAATTCACTACAAAAAGAGGAGGCGAGATGATATCGATTGATACCCGATAAACATGGAGAATTTAAAAAATCTTGAATCTTCCGTAAGATATGGAATGACGAACTTTTCCAAGATATTCCAAATCTTAATATTTCAAATGTGAATTCTTTTTTGAGTAATTTGCATATATAAGAGTAAAAGACACCACTTTTCCCTAAATAGGAGTACTCCTATTTACATTACCGTATAGTACTATAAAATTACAAAAATATCCCATGAGGAAAACCTCCAGCCGTTTTTTCCTCAATCAAGTTGGGCTATAATTTAGGGAATGGCCATAAAAATAGTAAAAAACACATTATCCGATTACTTATCTAATTTAAAATAAAATTAATTATATTAAATTTACATACTCCCTCCGTCCCAGAGTATTTGTCCACTTTCATTTTTACACATCATCCAATGCATTTTTTAATTCATTTTATCTTGTAATTTGTATATTAAAAAATTATATAAATTATATATTAATAATCTATATGTTAAGACAAATCAAACAAGATCACACATGACTATATTTAGGCTTACACATTGAGAAAATTTGATGAGTCAAAGCGGTTAGATGAACAGTTCCAAAAGTCAAAAGTGGACAAAAACTAGGGGACGAAGGGAGTAATAACTAAAAAAATATTTATTTTCATAATTAATGATCAAAATGTGTAAAATTTATCTTTAAAAGTTAAGCTATAAAAACATGAGTAATTTACCTAAATAGGACTAAAACATAATGACTTTCCCAATATAGGACCATATGTTTTTATTTCTCAATATATGACTTTTGTCATTATCAAGTAGTCATTATTCAAGTAAATGTTCGTCATGACTGGACATTATTCCTTCCACAAGGTCATTATTTAGAGAATAAAAAAGTTTAAGTCCTACATTAAGAAAGTCATTATGTTTTAGTCCTATTTAGTGCAAATTTCACTAAAAATATTTAAGATGAAGGAAGTATATGATAATTTTTGGGATTTCATGAGAAGATAGTGTCTTAGGCATTAATTTTTGTAACATGCAACTAGACAAGGGCAAACATATTCCATGGCTATTGAAGTTCACAAAATAAAGTCATTATGCATATGAATTTAAGGGAAAAACATAGAGAACATGTGTAAACACTGCATATGAGGACAATAAGCAATATACAAACATATTAAAATCATCTAAAACATTATTGCCTTTAGATATTATTATCGTAAAACATTCACACAGAACATTTATATAATGTATAAGGTCATTATTGTGAATATGAGTAAAAAGGTAAAACTTTCACACATGCCATTTTCATAGTGTATAAGGTCATTGTGAATATGAGTAAAATGGTAAGTGGAATTTATCTAAATAAGATTTAAATATAATGACTTTTTCTAAATAGGACCATATATTTTTATTTCTCAATGTAGGACCATTGGTCATTATTCATTAGTCATTATTCAAGTAAATATCCACCATCACTGGATATTATTAATTCCTCCCACTAGACATTATTAAGTACTTCCTCCATCCCCCAGTTTTGTCTATTTTTGACTTTTGGAACTGTTCATCTAAGCACTTTGACTCATCAAATTTTCTCAATGTGTAAGCCTAAATATAGTCATGTGTGATCTTGTTTGATTTATCTTAACATATAGATTATTAATATATAATTTCTATAATTTTTTAATATACAAATTACAAGATAAAATGGATTAAAGAAGTGTATTGGATGGTATGTAAAAATGAAAGTGGACAAATACTCTCAGACGGAGAAGTACTATTTAGGAAATAAAACATTTTAAATGTTACTCCGTACATTAGGAAATAACTTATGTTTTAGCCATATTTAGTGTAAATTTTACAAGGGGTTATACGAAGAAATTTTAAAAAAATAAGGGCCTAGAGTAAAAAATGTGTAGTTCTCTTACTACCTCCGTCCCATTTTATAACGCCTGTTTCGGTTTACGATGTTTGATTGAAATTATTTTCAAACCATTTTATATGACAAATTGTATAGAATTAAAAAATAAAAATTACATATTAAAAAACTACATCAAAAGATCTACAAAACTAGTAGTGACAATAATATTTTATTTTATCAAATTGTTAACGAAAATAAAGAAAGAAAGTGAATGAAGTTTGACCTTGTGAATAATAAACATGCATTATAATTTGGGACGAAGGGAGTATAATATAGTAACGGAAATATTCTTTAAAAAAAGTAAAAAAAATATTTTTAAAATAACAAGAAAAGAAAATATGAGAAACAATATACTCCGTGCAGAGTAATGATCACCTAAAAAATAGGAGAAGTTATAATTAATTATCCTCTAAATAAGAAAAGAGAATCCTATTTTAAATATGGAAGCTAAAGAAACGGAATTGAGAAAAGTAAGTCTAAAGGGCAAAGATGGCTACACGGGACAAAATAAGTCTTACACAAAGAAAAAATCATAATAAGTCTTATTTAGGGAAACCTATCATCTTTTAGTCCTATTAGGAACAAATTTTACTTCTTTTTTATGTCACCAAAGATTTTTATAAAAAATGATATCTGAGATATGAAGACCCATGTCTATGTTGCACATCAAACTCCATATAAATTATAAAATACGACATTAAGGAGGGCCTTTTTTCAAAGAAGGTACGAGAACTTTGGACGTTGAAACAAAAAGTTACTTTGTACTATATCTTTTGTTTGTAACAAAAACATATCTCATCTTTTTAAACTATAACAAAATGGTGCCCCTTGGCCTTGTCAGAATTGTGATCATCCGTCGAAAATTTGTTGAGTTGGTATCCTGTTGGCTTTTCTCTACTCGAAAGTCGAAAGTGTTATCTAGGTGCCTTTTTTCCCTCATAGTATGAGCAGTTTTTTTCTTAAAAATTCAAGGGCGGCATTTTTCTATTCAATAAAATTTTTTTATATTAGCAGAACTTTTAGGGCATCATTGTTTCCCTAAAATTTTACATTAGCAAGAATCTACTCCCTCCGTCCCTAAATATTCACAACATTTGCTTTTTCAGCAGTCGCGGGAACTTTTATTTATTTCGATGTTTTCATTGGTTATTTGATAAAATAAAATATTCTTGACACCTCTTATTTCGAAGAACTTTTCATGTAGTTTTATATATATAAATTTTATTTTTTATTTCTATACCAATATGTAAATAAAATGAATTGAAAAAATTTGATATTTTGCCTCGTGAATACAAATGTGGCAAATAATTTGGGATGGAGGAAGTATATTTTTTAATCTTAGAGTTCCTATTTTATGTACACGTTTGGGTCTTGCTATCTTGGAGGGTGTTTGGCAGTGCGTTGCTTTTAATAATTTAGCTTCTACTTTGAGTGGAAGTGATTTTATTCTGTTTGGCATATCAGCTTCTGCTTTTCACCACCACTAATTTGTACATAAAACACCGTTTCAGAGAAGCAGGTTTGAGGTGCTTTTGCTTTCAGCTTTTGTAGAAATCACTTTATCCACAAATTAATCACTCCCAAACATCCTCTTGATACGGACTGCATCATCCCCTCTTTATTATGATTTTTTTGTTTTTTAATCATAGTATATTTTCCAAAAAAACTTGTTTGCAATTAATTAATTTTATTTTATTAAGTTTTAAATGCATGTTCAATTTAATTTAAATTAACCTTATATCGTCATTAACATTAACCATACAAATATGTCAATTTAAAGAAAAAGTTTCTTTTTTTATTTATTGAACATTAAAAATGCTTTCCTAAAATCTTTAAGAATAAAAATTACTCGTACGATGAAGAGAAGAGGCACCTAAATAACACGTAAGAGCAACAAAAAGCCAACAAAATACCAACTCAGCATTCGTTCGCCGGTCGATAACATTTCCAATCAAGGGACACCATTTTGTTATAGCTTTTGAAGATGGTATGTTTTTTCTTACAAAATATATATAGATGAGATACTTTTTGTTACAAGGTTCAAAATTGAGGTAATTCTTGTGAAACAAAGCCGAGCTTGTATGTGGAGTTAGATAAAGATGTCATTGATGAACTTCTTTGTTTTCCTCTTTTCAGGTTAGCTTAAAGATGCTGCTCAACCAAGAAAATTTTTTAGGGTTTCAAGAGAAGATAAAAAAAATACTATAGCCAACTTACATGATAACTTGACTTAAAAATTAATGTATTCAAACGATTAACATGCCATATATTGCTTAAAATCAACACATAGCAACACGATAAGGATGCGTCTTTAACGCACTTGAAAAAAATCAAACGTGAGGATCAATCATGCACCATTTTTCAAAGTATAACAGTACTTTATGAAGATGAAGAGTTCTCATGAAAATGACGCTAAAAGCTCAATAAAAGTTAGAGCCTGAAATATCATATCCCTCTATTTTGCTAGTACGTATCCAATCTCAAAGGCATTTAAGTATGTAACTCATCTACGGATTAGGCAAAATTCACATCAAAAAACCACAACTAGACATTTAAGCTGCCAGTTCGATCAAATGTAGGCATTGTCATGTAACACCCGTGTAAACTATAAAATTCCAAGTAACAAAGACATGATTTTCAACAATGAGATTTCCATAAAAGACAGAAACAACACAATTATCTTAGGAGTTTGTATGTTGATCAAAGTACAGGCGATTTCACTATGCATAAAGAAACTAAAATGCAATTGACAAACCATGACATATCTCTAACTTCACATTTCCCCCCAAAAATACTCACAATTCAAATTCATCCTCAAGCTTGAGTGCCTCGGCAGCAGCTTCCTCCTCATCATCATCAATAGCAAAATAAGGGTTGTGAGTCTTCGGCCTAAAGTTGTATCCAGTAAACACATAGAATGCAAGTGTAGCCAACTCAGCAGCAACAACACTAGTCCACAGATATTTGTATGATGTTATAGTCTCCAGAGCATAAACTACAACCCTGGTAAAGTAAATGTAGCATATAACAATTATATAGTACTGCCTAAACAACGTCAACTTCATCAAATTCACTGCGGCTTTCCCATCTGTCTTGGCAGCCTCGCGCAGGTTCTTAATTGACCACACAATAGGGAACAGTACGGCACAACAACAGATGATGTCGACAAGCAAGAAAACTTGCTTCCATGTATAAGAACTCTCCCCAAACGGTCCCGTCTCATCAACCACAACCTGAGCAACATTAGCAATGACTTGCAAGGGGATGACTACAATCAGCACCTTCTTCTCCTTATCTTGCAGGTAAGGCTTCAAGAATGACCAACCAGTCCCAATCAGAACAATCAAAGTGAACAGTGATATCCCCTTCAAGAAACTAAAAAAGTAAAACAACACGTCCCACCCATGGGCAGTTCCGGTCCGCTTAATGTATGATTTGTCCTCAGTCTCACAAACTAAGTTGAGGGCCTTCATAATCACAACGGCAAGCATAAAGAAATGGATCTTATAGACAGATAAGCGTTTCTGGTAAAGTGCATAAACCCAGAATATGGCCAGTGCCAAATAGACCACGAAAAACATGAAATAGATAGTTGGTAGAGCTGCCTTGCCTGCGGAGAGATAATCAAGCTGACCCGTTTTTGGGTTGAGATTATACATGACTGAGTAAACGCTCATGGAAATTTCCACATCTGGGACACAATTTGCAAACACCAGTGTGAACTGGTTCGCCTCGGACACCTTGAGGGATGTGCTGAACTCATGTGCAGAGGGTTTGATTTGGTCGAAAGTGAAGACCTTCTTGATAAGATCTGAATCGAGGGTGCAAGGAATCTCCCCACCTTGGAGCTGCTCGAGGACATGCATCCAAGCATCAAGGGTGCAGAGGAAGAACCCCAGCTGCGAAAGGGGCGGATCGGGTTGTCCCTTCCGTACGGAGAAGGAGATGTCGCTGACGGAGAGGTTGAGACGGCCGGAGTGTGTGAACCCGAATTCGTCGAAAGGGATGGCAGATCGGGCATCAGATCGGATCTTGGTGGATCTGATCTCAGCGAAGGCGGAAGCAATGAAGAGGGCAAAGACGAGAGTTGCTATAGGGATGACACGAAAACCCGCCATTTGTTTCCCTTACAAGCGATGTGTATTCGAAGTGCGTATGGCTAAAAACACTCCGGCTACCGGAGCCCCGAGAAAACCCACCGACGCCTCAACAGTAAAATGATGAAGTCAAAGATGCAGACATGGAATAGTGCTTTGTTCGTTGGTTATGGGCTTATGCTGAAGAACCATGATAAACTCCTTCGGTCTCTTTAAAATTTGAATAAAGCTGCTTGACACCGGGTTGTATCCCAAATTGCATACTCTCCGCCCTTTTTTAAATTGTCTGTTTGCTTTTTTTTTGTCCTAAAATAAGTTGCATGTTAGTTATCTTTGTAAACTTTTAAAAATAAAATATCTAAACTATCCCTAAAATAATTCGCCCTTCTTCATCTTATCTTCTCATTCATCATCATTTCTTCTAAAAAATAATGTCAATTTTGAAAAATCAACTATATTTTTTACGAGTATTTTTCTTACATATGCCCAAAAGTCACTGGGACGGAGGGAGTAGATGCTAACACTTTCATAGTTCAATCAGGGCCGTCTCTGAGAAATTAGGGGCCCTGGACGATATAGAGAAAATGTGTTATTGTGCCATAATGAAATAACATTTATCAATTAATTTATTTAACAATAAATAATATTAAAAGAATAAAAATAATAAAATGTGAAATTCATAGTCTTTAACATTTATAATTACATACCTTAATAGCGAACTAAGAATTCGTGAAGTTCTTATAGCATTCTTAAAAGCATTATAGTAATGAAAATAGTAAACTGTCAAATTCATAACTTCAAATAATCAAATCCACGCACAAAATTATATTAGTAATCCTCTGACCTTAGTGTTCTGTTTTAGAGTTTATATAAATAAAGAAATACATATAGATATATTATATATATATATATATATATATATATATATATATATGGGGCCCCCTCTAAAATGGGGCCCTATACATATGAGTGAAAGGAGACCATAAAGTGAAAGAGTGAAAGGAGGAAGTATTATTCAAACTTATATTTATAAAACATTCCATTTAAGGAGAGCCATAACTATAAACTGTAGTACAACTAAACAACGTTGGAATGTATGTTACAATACATTCTGCTAATTATACAACTTACCAAGTCAAAATAAAGTGCAACTAGTTTCAAGCCTTTAATTACTACGGAGCATTTTGTTAGTAGTAACCAATAAAAGAACTCACGGAACAAAATCAGCATTTTAATTACATGTTTCTAATTCTCCAATAACTTAACTGTCCATAAGATGCCCAGGTCACAATTACTACAGTACATCGGTTGCTGGTGTATAAAGCAGGGCAAAAAGATATGGGCAGCAAATCCAAAAGAATAGAAAAAGTTAACTCCCGGCAGAAAGTTTTTCCAATCATTTTTTTAATGAGAACATGTATCTGCACCCTGCTTTAAATAGACGTTTGGGCCCGAACCGCGTCCCTGCCCAATGAAATCAAACACTAATCATATGGGGAATCAAATGATGACCAAAGCAAAAGAAATGACCAAAGGTGGTGGCCTAGGAAGCTATAAAAATGACGAGTAGAGAGACGGATCTACATGAGTTAAACATATGTAATAAGAATACTAGAGAAAATGAACTGGCAGATGTGGAATTACCATTTTCTGTACCAATGGAATGGGAACTATCTTTTAGAGCTTGATGTAAACCGACCGATCCTGACAAAAAACACCATTCGGCTCATCAGTATGGTTACATGTAATTGTTTCCTTATACCAAAACAAGCTCTATAATAAACATAAGAGAATTACCTTACTTGCTCTTTGCCAACTAAATTTGTATCGCTCATAGAGAATTGTACCGTGGGTGCGTCTCTAGGGGCATTCTTAGGTTTCATTAAAACCTTCACCCTTGGAATGATGCCTCCAGTAACAACATTGGGAGGACAGTGCTGATTCTGCATTGCCATGAACTCATAACAAATGTTATCAGCCACTTTCTCTACATCCCCAGAAGTCTTCTTATGCCCCTGTGACTGAGCCATTGGAGTCACAGCAACAACAGAGGGCAAACATGACGGATTAGATGATGACGTGGCAGCAGCTGCGGCTGCAGCAGCAACCCTAGCCGCAGCTGATGTGGCTGCTACAATTTCTTGAGCACCTTCTCGAAGTTGGATGTAGTCTCCATCAATCACAAATAACTGAAAGTACAAAATTAGAGCTGCGTATATAAGAAAACCAAAATTCATCAGAAATCTACAGATTTTAAGCTTCAGAAAACTTACTTCAGGATGGCTAGCTACAAACTCATCGAGTTTCCCAAATTTCTTTCGGTAATCAAGCCAATGTTGGGGAGAGAGCATTTTCTCTAGCCTATTTGGGAGCTGCATATCACATACAGAACCAGCTAGTTATGGAATATGTGACAGTATTAAAACTAGACACACCTTAAATGATATAATCAACCTAACTGACCGTTGTACTAATCCTAATTCTACCACCAGGACCAGGTGGAATTGTGCGAACTATGCAAGCCAGTAGTGCTTGTTCTTCAAGTAGATCGGGTTCTGCTGCTTTCCCAGTACATGCATGAGCATTATTCTGACCGGTGCAAATCAATCTCTCAGGCATTACAGCAGCATCATTATATAGAATATCTTTTACTTTATCAATTGAATGACTAGTCTGATCTGAAACTTCTGCGGAGGACTTGTTAGTAGAAGAACTAACTTCTCCTGTTATAAGCCCTTCTGCCTCGACCCCATGGCTATTTGAGTTCTTCCCCTGCAAATCGGCATTTTAAAAAATAATAAACAGTCCAGCTCACACTTAAAATGTTGATTAAAAGACACCAAAAAGGATTTGTTTCCAAAGCCGACAATAAAATTAGAAGAATTCCATTTATCAATAAAGAAGCAAATACCTGGAACTTTTTAATGTGTTCAAGAGGATCAATATTCAAAGCATCACAGAATTGTGGAGAGATAGTTTGCAAAGCCTGCTGTGGGGTTTGCAAACTAGGGATGCAATTCTCACCCACAGAATGAAGAACCACCTGCACAAAACACTATGGATGGATGAAAAAAGAATGCATCTAACCTTTATAGGTAAAACAACACATGACATCGCGCATTCAACCGAGTTGGTCGAGAGGTGGGAGGTTTAGATTAATAACCATGAATTGAAAATGCAATGGGGATAATTTGCCATAAGTATCAGTTCCTCCCCCCGTAAGACTGCTACGTCTGTGATTAATCCACATATCTTACGGCAGGAGAGGTTCATCTTATCATGTTCAAGGTAAAACAGGACATATGATGATTTGCAACCTGTTTCCCCAGTTCACATGAAACTCCAATGGAAGCCTTTGGTTCAATTTCTGGATGATGCAATGTCCCATTGATAGATGTATCATGTTCATAACTAGAGTCTGGTCTTAGCAATGTTGGTTCCATTTGAAGATGATTTTGACTGTGAACAGACATCTGTGAGCCAACCTCCGCTGAAACCTTGAACACAACAGAATAAATTGGCCACAGAATGTTATACTCCCTCCGTCCCAAAATAAGATTCCACAATTGGGCATGGCTATTAATAAAGGTGAAAGTGTGTGGTTAAGTTTTGTGCAAACGAGATATATTGTGTAAACAACACTATTCATTCCTCAAAGGGAAAGATGAATCTTTTTCTCAGACAAACAGAAAAGGAAATGCAAAAGTTATTTTATGGGACAGCGGGAATATTAAAAGGATTCATCAGAAACTACCTGTTGGTTAGTCCAGTGTTGGAGAGGCGGTATCGCAGGTACAGGGTGAAAGTGTCCAAGATGGTGAGGAATCTGTGATGGTACAGTGGTGACTCCCTGTTGATGCACAAAAAATGGATGCAGTGCAGTGATTTGACCTGGTTGCATGAAGGTTGGCATCCCATGAAAAGATGAAAGATGAAGTGCAACACCATGGAGATCACTCTGACACTTTAAAGGTAAAGATACTGTTATGCCATCACTTTTGGCAAAGCATAGAATCAAATAAAGAGTTCATATAAATAATATATTACTGCTAAATATCCAAGGAGTTTATAAATGTTACTCCCACTGTTCCAAAATGGTCTTCCAACTTTTCAGGAAGCGCCAAAATGATTTTCCCATTTTATATATTGGCATACACTCTTTACATTTTAATAAAAAGATACTCTTAACCTCAACTTACTCGAGCTAGGGGTCTCTTGGAAACAGCCACTCTACTTTCGAGTAGGGGTAAGGTCCGCGTATGCACATGCTCCCTACACCCTACTCTGATGGGATTCAGCTACTCTAGTGGGATTCAACTGGCTGTTTCTGTACTCTTACCCTCAACAACTTCATATTTATTACTCCCAGTGTCCAAAAATGATGCACCTTTTTTACTTTTCTTGGTTAAAAGTTCACAAACTATGACTGAAATTTGTAGCCCCTTGTCCCAAAAAGAACTTCAGTGTTTGACTTCAAAAAGTCCAAGAAAATTGTTCAAAAGTAAACAGTATGTGGGCGAAAAATTGTTTAGAAAAGAGAAATGTTTGGTGGACCAAATATTTCTTACCTTTAAAGAAAAAAGTAGAAGTGCAAAGTATTTTTGGGGCATCCATACAAATAAAGTGTGAAGTTCGTTTTTGAAACGGAGGGAGTTTAGTTATATGTCGAGTTTAATATCATTAAATTCATTCTGAAACAATCTTGATAAATATTTTGAAAATATTATAAATATTTTATAATATTTAATTTAATATATGTACAAATTACGGAGTAGCTATTAACGTTCAAAGTGTTGCATTGTGACTAAAAACTTTAAAAAGTCAAACGCATGCATCTTTTTGGGACAGTATATTTTACTTCACTTTTACTAAATCCTAAAAAATTAGGTAGAGACATTTTGATAATTATCTTTTCACTCTAATCTCTGTTTCATTTTCATCTCAAAAGATCAATGTGAGACGGATGGAGTATACATAATTCACCGCTTAATTATAAAACTTATCGATCCGAATTACCTTATTTGAATCACCTACCAATCCATCACCCACTGAAAAAATACTTTCTTTAGATGATCTATAAGATGGTTGTGCTCAGGAAGGTGGGATTTAAACAATACTAATGTGAATTTAGTCATTAGTCTTGGAGATAATAGTACAAGCATAATAAAATGAAAAGCTCATTTGAAGACATAGGTTACTTTTCATATACTAAGGTACCCCAACCTTTCCATTTTGAGGTATGGAGTGATGTGGAGTCAATAGTCAATACATAGAGCTAGAAGTACTAAATAGGATCATTAAACTTTCAAATACTCCATAGTCCATATATTACTAAAAAAATCATTTTTAAAAAACAGGTAATGATATTTCCTTTTGATTTCAATGCTTCATACAAGGGTGATAGGATGAATGTCAATAAGTAAATAACAATACTATTTCTTGCTCACATCCTTCCTTAGCATTGGCCTTCAATCCTAAGTGGATATTCTGAAAGGGTACCATCCTCATTCTTGTTGAGAACGCCAATGCTTTAAGAAATGTTAACATAGGTTATAACTTTTTAATAAAATTAAATTCGATAAAAAGAGCTTTAAAAAAATGGATAGAAAGAGATTATCATTGCTTGCAAGAAAGTGTATGACCAATATCTATTTAATAATTTTAATTAATGGACATGTAGCTGGTCTAATGTTGGAGAATAAAGAAAGATGAAGTTCTACCTGAGTAGACACATTCCCCACAGAAGTTATTGACAGAGCAGTTTCGGCATTTCCATTTGGAACATTTCTAGGGTTTGCACTAGAAGGCTGAGTATTACTGTTCTCATTAAGTTTGCTGCCATTTTTCAGCTCATACTGTGAAGTGCCTTTAGAAGTTTCGTCTGAAACTTGAGAACAATCCGGGGAAGTACCATTCCTTTCTCTTGCCTCTGCCAGTACTATTTGGAGCTGCTGTATATGCAAGTGTAGACGCTCCATCTCGCCAAACTAAAGAAAAAACTAATTATTCCTCAAATAAGATTAACTACTGAACAACAATTTTAACGTCAAAGCTGACCATTAGCATCAAGTAGAAAAGGAAAGAATGAACACAATAGTCACAGTAGCCAATACCTGATTAATTTATTTAAAAGAATAATTCAGCTATATGTTACTTAAAAGCTAGATAACCTGTCTCTGACAAGCCAGCCAAAGCTGATTATATTGTTCTGCTCGTTCGCGTAGTTCAGCTTGTTGGAATGCTTCAATTTCCTGAGCACGACTCATCCAAGCATGGGCTTCCCTCATCTGTTCGTCGTTGTAAATAATAGTTTCCTTAGCAATTCTGTTCTGAACAATGTAGAATATGCAAACTGTGAGATTTCAAAATTCTAAAATATGTATATGTATATGTGTGTGTGTATATATATATATATATATAAAAGTATAATTTAAAAGCATCCCTGTAACTCCCAAAATATTGTTTCTATAGAAGTTTTATTGCACTAGAATGTTGTTGAAATATTTTCAAAAATTAAGGTCTGTGTGTACTGTATGACCTGTTCCTGCAATTCCATGAATTGACGTTCTTTCTCTTGAATATGCTCCTGAAGTTCATGAATTTGTTTAATATTTTGAACTCGTTCGGCTTCTGAGTTGTCCCTCTCTCGCCTACATATTTATGAGCTATACATAATAAAATCAACAAAGCATATACCAAGAAAGTACAAGTCTCAGTTGAGGTTGCACATATTGTATAACACTATTGTTAGATCACTCAAAAAATCAAAATAGGTAAATATTGTTTGAACAAGCACTAAACAACCTTCAGCAGTACAACTAAGACAAATATTATACTTCAAATGAAGGAAAAGTTATTCTACAACAAAAACAAAGCCTTATCCCACTAGGTGGCGTTGGATACATGGATCAAACGATGCCATTGCACCCTATCATGTATCATATCTGCTGTGAGATCATTCACGCGAAGGTCCCCTTGACCACTTCTTGTCAAGTCTTCTTAGGTCTACCTCTTCCTCTAGCCACATGCCTATTCATCATTTGATCAACCCTCGCTATTGGTCTTCTCTTCACATGTCCAAACCACCTAAGACAAGCTTCAACCATATTTTATACAATAGGTCACTTCAACTTTAGCTTTCATTTCTTCATTTCTTATTTTATCCATACGAGTATGGGCACTCATCCAACGAAGCATCTTCATTTCCACCACACTAGCATTGAGTTCATGTTCACCCTTTGCTGCCCAACACTATTTCATACAATATAGCTGGTCTAATCGTAGTACGGTAATTCCATTTAATTTAGCTGGAAGCACTCCGCCATTATTGCCAACCAATTTGAACCATGTGGTTAACATCATCCTCTATTTCTCCATTGTCTTGAATGATACACCCAAATAATTAAATCTCTTAACTTGTGGTATAGTATTTTCTTCGACTTTCACCTCGATGTTACTAATTCTCCTTCCGTTGCCAAATTTGCAATTTCATATACTCTGCTTTAGTGCAATTTATACGCAAGCCATGCAACTCCAAAGCCTATCTCCGCGAATCCAACTTTCTATTCAAATTCTTTCGTGATTCACCTATTACGGATGATGTCATTGGCAAAATGCATGGAACATGGTACAGGTTCTTGGATATGCTTGGTAAGAATGCCCAATACTAGTGTAAACAGATATCGGATTAATGATGACCCTTGGTGTAATCCTACACCCAGAGGCGGACCCACATTGAGTCCCACGGGGTCCCGGGACCCCACGGACCTCCACGTAGGATCCTATAATATTAGGTACTTTGACCTTATTAGTATATAATTATTAACAACCGAAATGAAAAAGAACATCTAAGTAGTGCAGTGGAGGCGCGGCTAGAATCTGACGGGTGGGATCCGGTGTTCGATTCTCCATCCCTCCTTATTTTTGTTCTTTTTATGGAGTTCAATTTTTTCTTCAAGTACTTTACCAAAACATTTTTTACGTCATATATTTTATTATATATCTTCAAGCAGTATTTTTTTGTATTAATACATATTGCTACATTAGAATATCAATTTAAATGAATACTCCGAGTATTAAATAATTATTAACGTTTTTCCAATTTGACAATCAAACTATCTAAATGCACGTGCTATTTCAATTTGTTAAGTTTAATTCTTTTATGAGTGCTTTTAAAATTTAGTGGAAATAAAAAAACGAAATGGGAACCTCCAATCTACTAAAATCACCTCCACCCTCATACTTTAGTAATAAACAAGCAATACAATGTTGATCTCATTCCCTATTGTTACAAGAAAACCTAAAAAATATACTTCGTAATCCGTAGTATTAATTTATTTTAAATTTAAAACATTAAAACTTCAAACTTGCACTCTTTGCGGTTATTTACAATTCTCTGGGGTTAGTATATTATTATATATTGATGCATGTAAAGAATTTACAATTTTTATTAGTTTTTTACAAGTATTTTTCCCTAAAAACACCTAAAAAAATCTATTTGTTGTTTTATGTGTATTTCTTTTACAATTTACTTCCATTTTTAGAGTGTGATACTGAAGAATTATGGATATGTCTAAATCTTTCGTTCAAATTCGATAATTTTGACATAAAAAATCATTATAGCCAATTACTAATTTTTTTCTTTAAAAAATTGTCAGATGTAGAAGTTATGACTTTGAAAATTTATTTGAGAATCATATTTTGAATGTTCATTTAAATAGTAAATTTTTTTTATAGCGTGTGAATAATTACGTGATATAAATATATGTTCAAAATTTAAGAAACGGGACCCCATGTTTCCCGATTCCTGGATCCGCCTCTGCCTACACCGATGCAAAATTCCTCTATTACCCCACTTTGACTTCTCACACTCGTTGTAGCATCATCGTACATGTCCTTAATCGCATAAATATATGCAATCCTTACTCCTTGGCATATTCTAAACAGCAGGGAGAGGACTATAATGGCATATTTTTTCAGTTACTACTTGAATTTAATATTAGAAAAGGATGCACAATCATGTGGCAAACACATAGTACCTATAAGTTTGCAGTTCTTTGTTTTCTTCTCTCAGTAGACCCTCTTTAGCCCAAGCCTGCTAAATACAGTGTAAGCAAAGCACAAGTTTATTTTAAATTTTAAAAAAGGGGCCATTATAAAATTGGGCTCTTAAATATAAGATTTTAAAGTAGAGTTCAAATAATCAAACAAACCGCTTCGTTGTCCAATCTTATTTCCTGCAACTCCCTCTCTTTTTCTTCCATTCTTCTTTCCAACTCGCATATCTTCTGGTCCATTTCACGCAGTTGCTCCTACATGTCCGTTGAAACAATTTCATTAACAAAGTGTAAAACAAGAATTACACGGAACATTTTACTCCTTATCCATCTTTTTTGTGCCTTCAACTATTAATGTGGCCAACCTAATTCATTTTATTCACTTATATTCAATGACAACTGTTTTTCATATCCAAACAGTTTGCAACATAACAGAATATTAGAGTAGCTCTTACAAAGTATGTAATTTTAGTGACTAATACAGTAATACTAAAGTAAGTAAAACTAAAAATGAATTATATGAAGTAACTAACAGTGTAGTGATCCTGTTACGAACATATAGTGTAATGATGATGATGATGATAATGAAAACGGTATCATTTCAGACAAGTGTTTATTTGCTCAAAAAAATCCAACTGCTATGCAGACCTGAAGTTTCATACCGGCATTTGCCTGCTCTTGGACTTCAGCATCAAAAGCTTTCTGCAGCTCCATAATCTCGGACCTAGTAATGATTTGAGCACGGAGCTCAATCTCCATACGTTGCAACTCCTCTCTTTGTTTCTTTACAGTATGAAGTCTCTGCTGCAGAAGATCATTGTCTGGGTTTCCACGAGTAGTGATTGAGCAGAAGTCAACATCAGCTGGTTCTCTCCCCTGCTGCACATTTGATAAAACAGCAAAACACCTTGGTGTTTATCCTCGTCCCATAAATATTCAGACAAAGCCTCACATTGAGAACCATAGAGAGAAATTCACAGGGAAAACAATAATGAAAAGACAAAAGGAATTACATTTTACCTCGTACACCAATCTCTCATCCGACTGCCCTAACTTTGAACAATCAATCTCCTGAAAAAATATTTTTAAAAAAACTACATGTGAGACCCAAAAACAAAAGAAGGAAAAGAAAAGAAATGTGAACATAACGGGGCAAACATTTCAGGCACCTCGCTAGTCGAAATCCTCAGATATTGCTCGGAAATAGCGCGCCATTCTTTGCGAGTAGCCTGAGATGATGAATCTGGAAGAGAAATGCCGCGTCCAGCAGCGCCATCCATTGGCTAAAAAATCGGCGGCAGCTCCAGTTCGACACAAACCCTAAATCTTAAAAGCCCACGAGAAAAATCAAGAACTAAAATGCAAATTCATAGATTAAAAACAACAACCCGATAGAGAAAAGAGCAGTGGAACGGAGAGCAAAAGACAGTTCAAGTGACCGAATGATTGAAAGGCATGTGCTTACCTTTTGCCTGGGGGGATAAACGGGATGGTGGAAGGTACAAAGGCTGACGCGCTGGAAGGTACAGACTACAGAGCAAACCGGACCGGCCGGTTCGGACCTGTCCGACCAGTTTTTTTTTTTTTTTTTTTTTGCAATTTTTTTCCAAAACCTCACTCCATGGAGGTTTGAACCCAAGACCTCTTAGCTATTTGGTTAAGTTCTTAACCATCCAACTAACAGTGTTTGTTGTTTCAAATTCATATAATTTTTTCAAATATTTCATAATTAATAAAAAGATTGTTTAAAAATTACTTTTCAATTTTAAAAATATACTCCCTCGTCCCATTTTAAATTGCATGTTTGTCTTTTTTCTCCGTCCCAAAATAAGTTGCCTGTTAGTGGTTTTCGTAAACTTTTAAAAATAAAATACCTAAACTACCCCTAAAATAAGTCACTCTTCTTCACCTTATCTTCTCATTTATCATCACCCCTCCTAAAAAATAATGTCAATTTCGAAACATCAACTCTATTTTTTATTTTCCTTAAATATGCCCAAAAGTCAAAATAGGCGATTTAAATTGGGGCGGAGGGAGTAATAAGTAGTACTTGGTCCGTCCCTGAGTGTTTGTCCAGTTTTGACTTTTGGAACTGTTCATCTAAGCACTTTGACTCATCAAATTTTCTCAATGTGTAAGCCTAAAAATAGTCATGTGTGATCTTATTTGATTTGTCTTAACATATAGATTATTAATATATAATTTTTATAATTTTTTAATATACAAATTACAAGATAAAATGAATTAAAGAATAGCATTGGATGATGTGCAAAAATGATAGTGGACAAACACTCAGAGACGGAGGGAGTATTATATGCTATGAGTCAAACACAAAATCATTGATATGTTTTTAATAAAATTTTAATATTATTTTTAACACGTAAATTTTATATTTTAATTTAGTAAAATAACTCAAGTATGTTAATATAATTTTAGTCAAAAAATTACTTTCTTTATGTATTTATATATGAGAATGTGTGTGTGTGTGTGTGTATATATATATATATATATTTATATTTATATTTATATTTATATTTATATTTATATAATTTTTAAATATGTTTAAACCACCGGTTCGACCAGTTAAACCACTGGTTCGACCAGTGAACCAGTACCTTGACCAGTTCGGTCCCCGGTCCGGTTCTCAAAACTATGCTACAGAGGAGTAAATATTTTAAAGGGGGATGCTAGGGGTACACCAAATGATGTACCCCATTTGTACCCCTCCCCCTCTAGAACCATTCATTTCAATTTGATTTTTATTTACGTAATTATTTTTAATTTTCTTGCATATTTTTGTGGTTATGGAGGGGTGGGGGACAAATGGGGTACACACCCCTAGCATTTTTTTATTTTAAATTCAATTGTGTCTTTATTTGAATATAATGATTGAGTATAAGTTTTGATGATAAATAATACGTGGCTCGGCTCACATTTCTCAATTATTTACGAAAAACAGTCAAATCGGGCATGTTTAATAAAATGGAATAATAAGAGAATATTCTTTGAATATTATTCCCTCCTTCCCTATAAGAAAAGGGTTGCCCTAATTGTAGAAAAAACCCAATTTCACTCTCCCTCCTGCATATTTATCTCTCTATCTCTTTAGTATGTATTTTTCTTCTTCTTCAAGAGCTAAAAAGCTCCATTAATGGCTTTTTAGCCTAAATTATATACCATGTACACATCCTCGATATTAACAAAAAATCCCCCGTTGGCAAGGTGTCGCCAAAAAAGAGCCTGTGGTTTTCTCTTGATTTGGGTTTCTACGTTAAAATCCACGTGTTTGTATTTTGGTGTATTTTTTAGGCTAGTTTATCGTTTTTGCCCGACTAAAAACGATATACCGGTCGATAATTTACATCATCAAGTTCAATACAAATTCGAATTGAAATACTAGTTTAGATTCGAATATTCATATATATATATATATATATATATATATATATATATATATATATATATATATAAAGATCATTTTTTAAAATCAATAGTCAAGTAAACTCATATAATATAAAATACATTTAAATTACTAAAATTTTTGCCAAGTTAATGTTACACAAAAATCTAAAGTATATAATTTTAATAATTATTTTTTAGAACATATAATTTATGTAAGATGCAAATATATTAATGGTTTAGATATAATATAAGAAATATTGAATGTTATATTATTTAAAATCAATGTTGGTCGCTCACATAAATTACAGAGCATGATAATTTGAATATTCGTTAAGTATTCAAATATTAATCAAATACAAATACAAATTTTATTTTTAATTCATTTCAAATTCGCATTGGAATTCATAGTTGAAATGATTAAACAAATAAAAATTCAAATATTTTTTAAGATTCATATTCGGTTCGTTTAAAAATTCGATTCGTTTAAATATTTGGTTCGTTTAAAAATATTTAATTCATTTAGATTTTAAAATATTTTATAACCATTTGATCTATACACACATACACAGATATATATATATATATATATATATATATATATATATATATATATATATATATATATATAGATGGCTAGTGAGAGAAAGTTTTCCGGCAAAGCTCCGGCGACTTCTCCGGCGGCAGGGAGGACACCTTCCTCTAAACACTCCTTCCCAAAATTGTTCTCTGCTTTATTTTCTACTTCTAATCTGCGCCCCTTAGGGAGGGTTGAAAATCTTAGGAATGGGATACCCTCAGCCTCATTCTCTCTGGAAGAAGAAGAAGAACTTGCAGATTCTTTGAAGTTTGCCGTTTTGGGCAGGTGCAACAACGAAGTGAACCTTCAAAGTTTAAAAAACTTCCTCCTTAAAGGGGGATTCAACGGGGGCTTTAAACTAAGAAGGCTTCAAAGGAAGGTGGTGCTTTTCATTTTTAGGACGGAGGAAGACTTTGTCAGATTTCTAAGAAGAATAGACTGGTATGTTGGTTCTTCCCATTTTGTAGTTTGTAAGTGGGCGAAAAATCTTAGGTCCTTTGGGGATAATCCTGTGTTTCCAATATGGGTTACCCTCCATCAAGTTCCCCTTCACCTAATCAATTTTCAAGCCCTTTTTACTCTTGCTTCCACACTTGGTCGTCCTATCCAGCTCGATGATAAAACTGCCCGTTTGGATAGGGGTACAGAGGCCAGGGTCCTTATTGAGAGAGATACATCTCTACCCCTACCAAAGTCTATACACTTACGTTTAGGGAACAAGGACTTTTTCATTCCTTGCTCGTTTGATTCAGACCCTGGTTTCTGTACTTCATGCAAAAAAATGGGTCACGCCTCTCCTAGTTGCAAGACACAGTTACCTACCGGGAAACTCGCCAGAAAGGGTAAAGCTGTTGAACTTGGAGATACTGGGGATCAGTCTTGGAATACAGCCAAAGAGAAAAAGAAAAATACAAGCAGATTGATAACCCCTGTCAACAGTCATTACAATCAAAAGTGGGTCATTAAGGAGAGGACTGGAACAACAACTATCTGCCAAAATTCTTTCCACTTGCTAGATCAATCCGTGGACACCCAGCCTTCTCACAACATTGCTCCCAACAACCCTCCAAATAATCTCAGCCACACCACTTGCACTTCACTGCCTTCTGGGCCACACTCTCCATCTTGCAGCAGGGACCCACCTGATACAAACACTATACACGATGAGTTTTTTCCATCCCTATCAGAAGCGAAGGAATATGCCAAGAAAATTCCCAAAAGCCAGCAACAAGTAACATTTAGTGTTAATACACCCACCTTGATCTCCATGGATGACTGTCTCCACAGAAATGCTGATCTGGGTCTTGGCTTCCTTCTGGGCCCCCAGCATTGCCACAACTCACCTGCAAAATCCAACAATGCCTTTCAACTTGGGTATCACTCAGAAGGTGATGACACGGAAATTATGAATAAATCAAACTTGGAGGCCTTTAATATTACAACCCCAGGTCCCAATTCTACAAGTATCTCTGTACCCAAAGCTACCAGGAACAAAAAGGCTCATTTCAGCCCCAAAATGCTCACTAGAAGCATGAAGGGGAAAACAGATGTTATTTTTTACCAATTGACATGAACATTTTATTCTGGAACATTTGTGGTATTACCCCATCTGTAAATAGACTCATCTCTCTCTCCAAGTCTTCTAATTTTGATTTCATTGCTATATTTGAGCCTATGGTTAAGGAGTTCAAAATCAACAGTGTTAGATCTTCTCTGGGTTTCTCTAACTGTGCTTCAGCTCTAAACAATAAACTTTGGGTATTCTAGCATGGTCAGAGACTCAGTCTATCCCATGTACAGGAGTTTGATCAGATGTTCTCCTGTCATTTCTGGGACAACCTTCTCAATATTAAATGATGCATCTCCTCAGTTTATGGTAAACATACTGGAATTAAAAGAAGGCAACTCTGGAATGACATATCTAATAATATTATTGTTGATACCCTTTGGATTGTTGGGGGAGATTTCAATGCTATATCCTCCATTGATGAACATAAAGACACATCTACTCCTAACCTCACAGACATTACTGAATTTAAAGACTGTTTTGAGGCCATCCCTCTTATCAGCCCCTCCTTCACAGGGGGGTTGTACACATGGAGTGGGGTCAGGGGTAGAGGAAGGTTATGGAGGAGGCTGGATAGAGCTTTGGTTAACTCAAAGGCAATGGATTTCTTTTCTGAAGTTACTATAAAACATCTTAGCAGAGCGACCTCTGATCATAAACCTATTTTCTTACACTGCTCACTGGACTCCTTCAAGGGAGCCAAGCCTTTTAGATTCCAAGATTTCTGGATATCACACCATTCCTTCTATAAAGTAGTGGAGGACTACTGGAATATGCAACCAATGATTGGAGGAATGAGGGGCCTGGCTGTAAAACTACAGGGACTGAAACCTATTCTCAAAGCCTGGAGTAAGGATACCTTTGGAGATATTTTTGAAACTGTCAAGAAGGCTGAACTTAAAGCTTTAAAGGCACAAGAGGACTATGAAACTAACCCCGGGGACACTCTAAAATGCCTTGCTAATCAAGCCAATGCTGAACTTATAGTGGCTTCAAACAGAGTAACCACCTATTGGAAACAAAAAGCTCACCTAAAGTGGATGGAACTTGGTGACCGAAACTCTTCCTTCTTCCACTCCTATGTGAAGGGTAGGAGAGCTAGTCTGAAGATTAGATCAGTTTCAACAGCTGGGGGCAAAAAACTCTTCCAGGAGGAGGATATTAAAAATGAGGCTGTGGAATACTTCAAAAATGTCTTCAGCAGTATCACTTTAGTGGATGTCCAGGAGATTCTTAGACATATTCCTACACTAATCACCACTGAGGACAATAACTCCATGACACTAATTCCTGAGGAAGAAGAAATCAAAAAGGCAGTGTGGGAGCTTAATCCTAATGCAGCATCAGGTCCAGATGGATACAATGGAGTTTTCTTCAGAACTTGTTGGAGCATTATTAAGGAGGATGTGGTGAAAGCTTCTCAAGAATTCTTTATGGGTCTCCCTATCCCTAAATCTTTTGGATCAACTTTCATCACCCTAATCCCTAAAAAGGAGGACTGCAAGAGCTTCTCTGACTTCAGGCCCATCTCACTCTCAACTTTTATGAGCAAGATAAACTCCAGGATACTCACTNCATCTAGCGGAGGAACATGCAGAACAAATTGGAGACCAAGTTTTATGGAAAGGGGGACAGTTTACACTCAAAAAGGGATACAATGCGTGTAGAAATGCAAGGAACTCACAATTAGGATACAAGCTAGCATGGCACAAGCTACAAATCCCCAAAATTAAAATTTTTCAATGGAAAATTATGCAGAACATTCTACCTTTCCCCGAGATTTTCAACCAGATTGGGTTTCACTTACCTTCGCAATGTCCACTCTGCAAAAAATGGGAAGCACAGATGGACCACACTCTACTTCATTGTGAATTCAGTGCTCCAGTTTGGGACTTCTTTTGCAACATCCTACAAGGCCCAAAACTCAGAGAAGGAATCGCTCTAAGGCAACACATCTTCGAATGGTGTCTTCGTCCTAGCAATACAACAATTCGCAGCAATCTAAACGTGGTCATACCTGGTATTATTGCTTGGAGTCTATGGAAGATGTACAACGGGGCAATCTACAATGAAGAACAGCCTTCCCACCAATCGGTCCACAACAACATCACTCAAGCAATTCGACACTAGTGCTGGAATCATCGATACAAGTGCTGGATGACCAGAGATGAAGAATTATCTACCCTAGGTTATCAATCAGTCTCTCTCAATGGGAAAACACTACAGATTTTCTACAAGGGACGAACAGGGTTTGAGGATGAAGATTAGAGTGAGAGGACTTTAGTTTTGACCTTCTACTCTTTATTTTCTGAAGTGTAATAAGTGTATGTTTGTTATCTACCTTCGGGGCCTCGGCCTAATCCTCCCCGAACGTGTACTTTACTTCTCACTTAATAAAAGTTTTCTTTAATATATATATATATATATATATATATATATATATATATATATATATATTGTATAATTAGATTTATATTACGAATATATTTTTCAAACTCACGAATCGAATACCCTTGATTCATATTCGTATTTTATAAGGATTTAAATATTTATTCAGATTTGTATTCGTATTCGAATTTGTAAAAATTGAATACGAATCACCTCAAACAAATACGAATCACGAATCAAACAGAAAACATTCAATTCATTTACAACCCTACATGCACCCGCCCCCCTCAGCCAACCCTCATTGCCTGCAATCCACCACCTTTCACTAAGAAGTATAATTTCCTAGTATTTCACATTTACCGCAAATACTTATTAAATACACCTTGATTATTTTGATTGGAAAAATTAACTTCCAACTCTTTCCAATTTTTTCTAATTCTTTTCAACTCCTTCCAATTATTTATATATGATTAATATAAAATAACATTATACATCTAAATTTTTTTACATATCACTTCAAACACGAATAATGATAAATTTTTTTATCAAAAATTAAAATTTTCTAACACATTTACTTGGATGGTCGTTAAATTAAATGCTTTTTTTTTTAAATTCATCCAATATTTTCCAACTCCTTCATATTTGTTCCAACTTCTTCCAGTGTTTCTTCCAACTCCTCCCATTTTGTTTTAACATCCAACTCTGAAATTACAATCCAAAAAAAGATGGCCTAAATTGCTAATCAAAGGCGACAATTACTGCTTTTTAAAAAATGCGACAACTACATCCTCCTACAAGTAGTAAAATTAATAAATTTAGGGGCTGTTTGGCAACTTCTGAATAGGTAAGTGCTGAACCAGTAAGAAGTCTGAACCATTAAGTGCTGAACCAGTAAGAGGTTTGAACCATTAAGAGCTAGTATATTGCTTAACTATTTAGAGGCAAATGTTTGATCAATTCAGATAAGAGCTCTTAACCATTCAGACTCTGTATAAAACTTAACCATTCAGAGACAAATCTCTTAACCATTCAGACATCTGAACCATTAAGAGGCTGAAACAAACAGTCTGAACCATTAAGTGCTGAATCATTCAGACATGTGAATCATTAAGATGCTGAAACAAACAGCCCCTTAGTTGATTAAAATTTATGCAGTAGGGAGAGAAATAAAATTTAATTTAACGGCAATGATCTTTTGAACTTGAAACCCCGATGGTAATATTGATGGTTCCTACCTCTACTAACCCACCCCCCCCCACAACACACCACCCCGGATCCCCTATGCACCCTAAAACGCTGATTTCGGCTAGCCAAATCAGCATTTTAGGAGGGGTAGAAAACATCAATTTTATCAACGGAGCACCCTAGGTGCCCGGGTCATAAAACGACCTTGGTTTCAAGTTCAAAAGAACTGCTTTGTAAAATGAAACTGGAATCTTAATAGGTTAGCTAAGTATGTAAATACAAAAATAAAAATCAAGTGACAAAAGCCACGACAGAAGTAAGAGATGGAAAGATAACTTCATGAAATTATAAAAGTGCAGTGGCAGTCCATAAGCATTGTCCATCCAGGGCACTCCAACATCAATAAAACACAAATATTTTCAGGAATTTAACTAAAATTCATGACGAATGCTCCTTAAAATCTTCAGTTGTTCGGCCTCTTCCCCACAAGCAACTCCGGGATCAATAAAACACAACTGGCCGAGAATTACATTGTAGGTCAAGTATTTAGATTAGATTTGGAGTGGCATTTGGACACTGTAAACTACGTTTTATACCTGGTAGAATGGCTTCTTCAGTGTGTGGACACCTCTTTTTATTAGCCTTTGCCATCCCTTGTTGTCTCTAAGAGATTTTTCAAGATGCTTGGTTCTCTAAAAGTTATGATCACAAAAATTTTGGTTTAATTTAAAGGCATCTACAAGAAAAAGCTACATTGATGTTTTAGGAAAAATTAAAGAAGACTGAGAAGTGAAAATTGTATTTCAATCATGCATGCTCCATTTTTGAACACCATTTTTAATTGTAATTTAAGTAAAACTATGGGTCAGTGATACAATTTCAAGTAATGAGGAAAGAACTTTTTCACTTAGCAAACGACATATTGTACTCATAAAAAATGCACTTCAATAGGTATCCAAACCATACTTACATGGCCAGGGTCTAAGATCAAAAGATTGTATTCCTTTGAGCCATTTCTCTGGCATTTCTTTTGAATCCCAACAATTGTTCTCGAGTGACCTTGATGTTGGAAATACAATGGCCTGCAGAATAAACCTTACATGAGATCTTAGTGGAGTGTGAAACTGCAAATTCAAAACCCAAGAATACAAGCATACACTTGCAAGTAGTAAGGGAAGTTTGCCAAGAGATCATGGCAACATTTAAAATGTACTTACGATTTTTGACAAACAAGAACATGTATATTTTCATGTCTTGTACATTTGGGGTTAGAAAAGTAATTCCACACCCATTCAATGAGAGCTTCCTGACCCTTAACATTTGCATCATGGGTAATGGACACATTGTCAAAAGACTTTTCTTTCCACGTGGACACGTACTTGTCCATAGGTCCATACACCTTAGGTGCAATTGTCTTACTACAGAAATCGACTATTTTGGCTCGAAGACCAAAAGATCGGAAGAGGGTAGCACATTCTGTTGTTCCAATCCAACTTCTTTTTCCATAGATTTTGTTACTGAAGTCTTTCGACCCATCTATATCAAAGCCTTGTTCCCAGGCAATCTCAAGCCATTTTTGGAGTGAAGGGATATCAGGTACAAACTCCGAACCACCAAAGAGGGTTTTCCTTGCTTCTTGTCTGCATTTGATCAAATGAGAACTAATCATCTGAATATTGCGCCATCCACATCCCCATCCAACATCCTCCAATGGGATACTCTCAAAATGATCTACATACCCACACAGCAGGCTGACCCAATTCTTGGGTTCTTGTTCCATACAGCTTCTCAGTAAGTTAATCATCCCTCCTTCTACACTGTAAAAAGATTCCTTAATCTGTAGATCTACTAAACACCTGATTTGCCCACCCGTATCTCTCCTCTCTAAAGCTCGACCATCCATACAAGACCTTGAAGAGCTACTCCCAGGGATATCACAATCACCAGTTCTACAGACACTTGCATTATCAACCTGGTTAAATCAATGGACGTTTATGATGTGCTGTTGATGATTAATTTATAAGCCGATGCACTACCTTGACCAGATTTGATTTCAATGGAGAATCACTTTTTTAATGAAACAGAAGAAGTACAATGCAGTAAAGTTCAACTCAATGACTAAACCAATGGATTTCTATAAAGTGCTGCTGGCAATCATTTTATATGCTGCCCGTTTATACTCCCTTTGTTCCAATTTAGTTGCAACAATTTGAGTTGTACGTTTATGATGCACTACCTCAACCATTAACATAATATAATTTGATACTCCGTACTAATAAGGTAAAAAAGGCTAAAGTAGAAGTAAAACATAGAAAATATACTAAAATAAGAGTTCCATTCTTTTATTCTCAAAATAAGAGTTAAATTGCATTTACATAACAATCATGACCATGTACATTACGTAAAATACATGGATGATTTCTCTATGTTTTACTCTTATTTAGAGTGATTTCTTTATTAATAAAAGTTAAAAACTTGATATCATGGAAAGTATACATCCAGACAAATTCAAGAATATTTTAAATAATACTATGTGTTTTTATATATTTTTTTTAAAAAAAAGACTACAGTCAAAATGGTAGCGCAAAATCAACATGTACGATGTAAAAGAGAATGTTTACTCGCGGAGTACCTGGGGAGGAGCAGGGTGGGTCTCTTCATCTTCGAAGTGACTGTTCGCATGTCTGAAAAATCAGCAGTGAATGACTTGTTAAAACAGAAAATGAATTGCGCATTAGGTCAAAAGCAACTTCGAACGCGAACACAGGAATTAGGAATAGATATAAGTTGAGAGAATCGAACAACGAGTAAAGCATGGAGAAAGGGAAGATTGCCTTTCTAGTTCTACAGAAAGCACTCTCAGATTGCAGAAGGGGCAAGTCGTTATGTCCATAAGAAAACGATGCCGTCGGAGCTTTGAAAGCCTGCGACACAGAAAACAACAAGCAATTACTGGACCTCACTCCTAACATTTTTAGGGACTATTTGGCTACTTCTGAATCGGTAAGTGCTGAACCAGTAAGAGGTCTGAACCATTAAGTGCTGAACCAGTAAGAGGTCTGAACCATTAAGAGCTAGTATATTGCTTAACTATTGTCTCCGTTTACAGACTAGTTAAGTCTATTCTCCAGAATTGGTAAGTCTGAGACATATTATGAATTGGTAAGTCTCCGTTTAGAGAATTGGTAAGAGACATCTGAACCATTAAGAGGCTGAAACAAACAGTCTGAACCATTAAGTGTTGAACCATTCAGACATCTGAACCATTAAGAGGCTGAAACAAACAGCCCCTTAGTCACGAATACCTCAACATGCTCCACAAAATTTATCCTTGTTTGTAGGGCTGTGCACCAGTCTAAAATTGTACCGACCCGGACAAGATCAGGACCGGATCGGGACCAAATAAGAAAAAAATTAGTGGACCGTAGACCAGATTGACAAAGTATAAGACCGGACTAGGACCGGACCGGAAAAAACCGGACCAGCCCGAATAAGGATCGAATAAGGGGGGACTATGTTAAAAAATTAAATCATTGAAGATTTGCACTTGGCACAATGGCAGTGTTTCTTTAAAAATGAATAAAATTGAGAAAAACAATATACTCCATTACTCCAATAAGCTGAAACATGAGCCAGAATAGCAAACATGGGTGAGAATAAGCTGAAAAGGCTATGAATAACTCTGAGATGTTTCGATTTAACTGACCAAACTTTCTATCATGCTCAAATTCATAGTATGAATTTGGTTGCAAATCCAATAGATCATAGACTTAAAAATTAAAATCTAATTAATACAAACATGAACCATTTTCTATCTTAAAAGTCCTTTTGGTAAATGTTTGGACCTTAAAAACTGAGCAAAAATCGAAACAAAAAATATCATACTGAATAGTCAATACTCAATATCATCCATGATTTGGAATTGGGGTGGGTACTGGACTTTGGAAGTGTATATGAAAGTTGGTAATGGACTATATATAATTGGCTATGGTAACTTAAGTAAATCCCATAATCCATATAGTAAAATATAAAATATAAACCCAAATAACCGGTCCACGGGTCGGTCCACTGGTCTCACCAGTTTTGGACCAGAGACCGTACCGAATAGGGACCAGTCTGGACCTATCTGGTCTAGTTTTTGTCAGTCTTCGGGTCGGTCCGGGTTTAAACCGGATAATGCACAACCCTACTTGTTTGGATAGATTGAGAAAATAAAAGGTAAGAAAATTACAAAAAAAAAAATATTGAGAAAAACATTATTGTTTGAATTGATAGAAATTAAAAGAAAATGGAGAAAAAAAGACAAATGATGAAATAAGAAGAAATTAGTGGTGGAAGAAGGAGCTCAAGAGCCTATTTTTATACCTAATTTGGTGAATTTTTTTATATTGGACCCATACTTAGGCCATGTTCTCTTCACCTAATCTGGTTGGTTCTGATATGGTTGAAATAAGTTCTGATTTGATTTGGTCTAATCTGATCTTGTCTAACTTAATCCAAATGTAGTTATATTTAAGGCTATTTTTGATATGATCTGGTCTGATCTAATTTCAATAAGAATAAGTAATAAGTAAAAAATAAGTTGGGGAGAACATGACCTTAGTTTTTTCATCATCTTCATTTTCTCTCCAAAACAAACGAAGAAAAACACTTGATTACATGTTTTTTCTTTTCTTGCATTTTTTTCCTCCCATTTCTCACAATCCAAACGATACTTTAATTTAGAGTTTGTTTGATCTGATTTTACAAAAGACGTAATCTAAACACTAAAACTATAACCACATTCTTCATCAATTTTTGCTATTCATTTGATAAAATAGTATTATCTTGTCACATTTTGTTTTGTAGAACTTTTGATGTAATTTTTTAATGTAATTTTTATTTTTTAAATCAATATCAATTTTCAAATAAAGTGAATTGAAAATAATCTCAATTTAACATCGTTAACAACAACAAACAATTTAAATTGGGTCGAAGGGAGTATAGTTTTTTCCAAGGGCAGCTCAAGGCACTGGCAAGGTGGTCACTTGGCCCGGACCCATTTTCGTATGAGGCCTCAAATTCTATTTTTTTTTAAATATGTATTATGAAGAATATGACATTTATTATTGTTATTGCTACTAGTATAATATTAATTATTGTCAAAAATTTGTCCCATCTCTAAAAGTCGTGGGTGGTTATTCTTACCTTCCATTATTTAAATACTTGCATTATTGTTTTGGAAGAATGAGATTTTATCAAAAATTTGTCACATCTCTCTTACGTAGTATTTGTTTCCTTCTCTCTTCCCTGATTTGGGGTTTGATACTATAGAGAGTAAAGTACTTAAAGGCCTTGATCCGAGCTCGTATGTTAAACCAAATTTACACAAAAATAAAAAAGAAGAAAAGAAATGGAAGCTTCCATGTATCAAACGAAATGGATAATTGGATATATAACTCCTATCCATTATAATGAATTCATATCAATGGCCATATAATTAAAAGCAGATGAGGAAGGAGAAAGATGGTGGTTAAATTGATGTATTGCAGAAACACATGAGAAAAAAGGTTACAGAATGGAACGTAGGAATACAAGAAAAGAATCTATGTATATATACACATGAAGTATGAATAAACGTAAAATTCAAAACCAAAAAAGAAAAAAAAAAAAAGAAACGAAAAGCAAAAGAACCCCTTCACTTTTTCTTGTTTTTCTTTGTACCTTGTGCTTTCTTTTTCACTTTCTTTGGCAGCTTGCTCCCTCCAGCTTTTCCCTTCTTTTGTTCAGCCGCCTGAACAACAAACATTAGTCTCAACAATTGAATCGAAAACAAAACTTGATCATTTCTTTGAATTTTAAAAAATACTGCATACAAATGATTTTCTAGCTTTTCGTTTTGTTTTTCCAGTTGTTTCATCATCAATGGTTTCATTTTGTTTGTCTTCGCCTGCCTTTTTGGCAAAACTGTCATCCTCCTCCGAATCAAATGAAAATCCATCAAGAGTTCCTACATGGGATTTATTATTCATTAGGGTAAATATATTTTACACCTCGGGAAAAAATAGAAAGATAGAGGGACAGAAACCCCAAACCTTCGACCATTGTTTCAGCTTCATAAACATTTGATTGTGGCGTCAATTGGATGAAATCATTCATGATGGCTTCAATCTAGAAAAGTCAAAGGGACTAATAAGTATCAGGAAGAATTATTATTTTAAAGTGTATATCCACAAAGGCAACAATCTTCATCAAATCCCACAAGTGGGTCTGGGGAGAATAGGATTTCGTAGACCTTGCTTCCACTCGCAAGGAGTGGACAGGCTGTTTCCAAGTCTAATGGTATGAAATTTCACCCAATTTTTAAAATTATAAATGATCAGTGAGAGCAGAAATACAAAATGATTAGGCTCAAGATCAGAACAGCGAGCAAATGTGAGCAAATGAAAGTCAGTACTTGCTCCGTCCCACAAGGTAAGACACATTTCATTGTGGTATGATTTTTAAGGAAATAAAGGTGATGTTAGAAGAAAATAAAAGGTGCTCCGTCCCACAGGCGGTATGCCTGTTTGAATGAAGCAAATAAAAATGTGGTGTACCAAGTAAATGGTTGAAAGATTGATGAAACGATGAGTTGAGAAAAGGAAAAGGTTAGTGGTATTTAATTAGGAAACTGAACATTACTTTGGGAGCAACTTAAAAGGAGAGTAGATCTGATAAAATGAAAGAGAGGGAGTACTTCAGAAACATGGTAAAGGTTATGTGGGTCATTCCATTGCAGCAAAAGTCATATTCTAAGAAATTTAAAATGTAGGCCCCATTCGACATAAGCGCTAGAGATTAGGATTAGCGTTTTGAAAAGACTATCTAACGTTAGCCTTTAGCGTTAGCTTTTTAAAGTTAATCTACACCATTAAAATTTTATACAAAATGCTAACGCTAATAAAAAACGCTATACCCAAACAAGGCCATAATTTGTCAATATCATTTTAAAGGTACAGTGGTGTGGCTAGAGCAAATAAATCAACAATGCATCGCTAACAGACACACCTTTGCTTCAGATTGACCAAAGCTTACCTACAACAACAGAAGAGTATCAGAATATGTTATTAATATTTGAGTGGGGACTAAATGTGAGAATCCAATTGCGGTCAAGAGACCAAAAGTGGAAATCAGTATGTTAACTAATATGGAAAAATAATAAAGCTAAAAACTGTTCACCATCTGAATGGGAAAAAAACATATACCACACAGAATGTCCTGGAAGGCACTATTGTTGTTTGGTAAATAGTTCCTGAAATTTTAAACCAGATCACTAAAATCAGATGATGCAGGAGTACAAAACATGGCTATGCTGTGCAAGAGGGCAGACAACCAGCCCATCAAGCTTCTATACGTAAGGCATATACGTAATGAGCAAACTTAGTCTCACTATGCCACCTCAATAAAGATAATGCTAGCTGACCTAGCTCATGGTTTTATAGGACACACAAATCAAGGAATTTAACATTAGAAAAAAATCGTATTCATGCCTTTCAGATCCAAAAGCATTTCATTGCTTCCAGATGGATCTTCTGAAATCACTACTCGTCCAACCGCACCCACATCACCACTCAAATCTATGGAATCACCATCACACTCTAAAAGTGCCTTGACAAACAAACAAAGCAAATAGTGTCCAAAAACATTCAGTATGATATATTTACATTTGAAATGATGGGATATCGAGATACTAAGACAAACCATCATTATCACGAAATATTGGAGTAACAACAGAATAGCTGGGAGCAAAAGCTCCAAAAAGATAGTCTTCAAGTTCATGCAGAAGGTCAAAGTTGGTTATAATAATGCAGAAGGAAATGTGGCTTAAAAGATTGAGGAAAAAGGAAAGAAACTGAAGACAGGCAATCACATCTACATCACCAATATAATCAGCTAAGGTCTGCTCAAACTGACCTTTAACCTTTGTACTTTCTCAGGAAGTAACAAAGGGAGGCTTGAATTTGAAACCTAAATAAACAGAATAAAAATATGACTTGTTAATGTTATATCTCCAAAGTAAACCATAAATGTAGTGAAAGTACTCCGTATCTGACTTGTGGACCGCTACGCTTCTCTGGAATATCTTCCTCCTGTGCATCCATGGTGCCTTTATGTCCTACATCTAAATGATAGAAAAAAAATAAATAAATATCCAGTTTAGAGAAGTTGCAATTCCTAGAGAGTTCAACAAGTAAAAGTTGAAGAGTGAAAATATGCTATGTTAGAGTTCCTAAAGCTGGATTACATTCATTCCATATACCCATGTTTAACAAGGGTCACTACAATGTCCAGAAGATCCAAAAATGGCTAATTACCATCATTTTTTGCTATCACTGCTTTCTTCTTCTTCGGTGAATAGTTTTCTTTTTTCATTTGTTTAGTTGGAGATTGCAGCTTCAATTTCTTGGTGGGTGTAGATTCTTCATCACTTTCAAGGAATACTAGATCTTTTGTTCCTTCAGGTTTCATGTCTGGAGCTTCATTGTGTGCATGCAAGTCTTTGTCAAGGGTATTATCCTTTCTAACAGCACTGGTATCAGGACAAGACTCATAGTCAGCTGATAATCTCAAAGCTGAATGTTTTGACTCCTGTAAGAGAACAATAATCCTTGAGGAGCACACCAATATGGTCAGAAGTTTAAAACATCATATGCATCTAGTGATCTTCCAATGTGAGGACTGTTAGCATGATGTGTAACGCAACTAGGATCTAATAAAGTTTTGACCACAAAGACCAGGGATGGAAATGTGAGGTCAACTGATCATCAGTTAAACTTGATAGTTTTTAGTTTATGAACGGAGAGTTTTAATACATCCTAATTGTAATAAAATGGTCAATTTTATGAAAACTTAAATTAAACATGTTCACGGCAGTACTCCAAATGATGGTAAGGGGTGAGTCCAATTGTCCAAAATAGTTCCTTCTTTAAATTCTATGTTTCCATTACCCAAAAATGCATCTACTTCATCCACTGTGGAATAATAGTCCATTAAGTTCAAATCACATTTTGGAGGGAACTAATAATTTTGTCACAACTTGTCACTTCCCAGGGATACCCCTCTTAATAAAAATTGTTTTTAAGGCAATTGTTATTTTTTCAACTCTTGTTCAGTTATATCCCTCCAGAGGAAGATCTTGTCTCTCTTTTATTTCTATTTTGTTTTCATTTTACTGGGAAACATAATATCCCATATTAACAAAATAGTGAGTCAACAAAGACAGCACAGTGTTTTGTTATATAGGGTTCTAAATGGCCACTTATTTATGATAAAGATGTTTTTACTGGACAATACTTTCAAAATGGAGGGGGCGCCCTGTGTCTTATAGGAAGTAATTGCATCAATGTATCTAAGGTCTACCGGAAATATCCTCTTTGTTTTTACAGAGGTAAGGTTGCATACATCTTGGATCCTACATAGTTGGGAGTATACTGGGTTTGTTGTTATTGTCAAAGGGAGCATGAACATGAAGGCTGCACATATGCAGCATTGATAGTTAAAAGATACATAATTCAATTTATTCCTCTATATCAATAACAACAACAATTGAGCCATAATCCCTTGCAGGATATGGTTCATACCCATAAGTTACATGACCAAAGAGAACACCACCCATGGTCATCCACAAGTACCAACCTAACTTAATTGGCCAAGCACTTCCTACCTCAGGAGACAAAGACATCTTTTTAGTTTTTCTCTTAGAAAAGAACTTGATATCAGCAGCATCTTCACCTGTACAATTAGAGAGGATAAATTATCATCTTCTTATGCTTCAAGAAAAAATAATGCACAGTGACAAGTTTGACAACATTAGGAAAGCATAAAGCCAAACACCTACCTTCATTTCCAGGCTGACTCTCTCTCTTTCTCTTTCCCAGTGTATGGGCAAATCTTTCATTCTTACTAGAAAACTTTTCTATAGAAGGTGTCTTGATTAATGAATCATCACCATTTTGATTGTTTTCAGTCACCGTTTTATTGGATTTATTTATACAAAACAGTTTCCCAAGACTCAATCCATCATCATCATCATCGTCTTCACTAAGAGGGCAATCACTTGAAGGCGATGCTGACCCCGAAGACAATGCTGTTATAGTTGGTGCCTATTTTAGCATTAACATGCTCAATTAACGTGAAACTTTACAAAATCAAACTAAGCATATGAATGTGCTCAATTTACAGAATCTACAAATCCTGAACCAAACTAATATCGTTGGACCAACAAACATACCCCATGAATCAATGACTTAAAAAAAACAGATCAGCTCTGGCTGCTATAAAATTTTAGAGTAGAAATAAAGCACACTTTTCCGGGAGTAAATGACATGCTATAGTCTTTATGCCATTTACATAAAATATAACAGCAGCTTAAAGTACACATTACATTACAATGAAATTATTAACTCTATAAAAGAAACCTCAGCTCTAAAAGGAAAAAAAACTCAATTCTAAGGAAAAATAAGAGACTCGGTTAGTTTACCTGAAAAGATCGAAGCCAATCCGGAGATTCATCTCTGGATTTAGTCATTTTAGCTGCCTTGAATTGAAAAATAATACGGAGTAATAATTAAAGTAGACTCAGTTCTCAAAACGTGCGAGTTCGTTCGGGCAGATTTGAGGTGAAATAGAAACGGGAAATGCAATATTTACATGCGGTAGTTTAGCTCTCAAAACATGCGGCAGCTTCTACTGAAGTTGATTTAGCGATTTCGAAAGGGGATTTCTCACTACCGCCGGTTAAGACAAGCAAATGGGCGACAGACGACGGTAAGACTTCGAGATTCTGGCTCAACTTAGATCACCCCAAACTTCAAACCGGCTTCAAACTTTCTCCTGCCATATCAGACACCCCCTTAAACCTTCTTTTGAAGAGTGAGCTCCAAACCGTGGACTTCAACTTTTCTTTTATAACTTCAAAGTTCAAACTTTTCTTTTATTTTTTATACACATTTTGTAAAAGTAAATTAATAAGTTTCAACAATTAATTAAATATAAACCATAATAATTTATTAAATAAAAAGTATATTCAATAAAACAAGGTACATTAAATTAATAAAAAAGTTTCACTAATAAAAAAATACAGGAATATTCTATTTAGCTTTGATCTCGTTTGTTTTTTCTCGTAACACATTTTTTTAAATCCTGTAACGTTTCAAGGTCATTTTCCATTATTTCGAGCTCCTCTTTCTCTATCCTCTATCTCCCCATCTTCTTCCCTAAGATTGAACCTAGGTTGCACCGGGACGGGTGCGGGTACATATACGGGGACGGGGACGAATTTGGGATTCGACATTTTTAAAAAATTTAAGGATGCGGGGACGGCAAGGATTCGGCAACAAAATATAATTTAAAAATTAAATATAGGCATGTAAATGTTAAGAATAATATTCTATGGAGTACCTAATACAAGAAAAGGAATAAACAATAGTCCAAAAACAGTAATACAATAATAAACAAGGGTCCAAACTAGATTAATAAATAAAATAAAATAATCTTAAAAAAAAGAAAGGAGAATTAAAGTTATACTGCTCTGGTCTGTGCTCAAATCCGTCAAAAAAGAGCATCAAAGTAGTGCTCTACTGCTCTGGTCTCTCTGGTTCCGTAAAAAAAAGGGGAAATTAAAGTTGGGTAGAAAAGAAAAGGAATTAACTTACCTTGTCGCCGGAAAAAGCAAAGGAATTAATCTGAATTAATGCTCTGGATCCCCGTCGGCGGTAGATGCAATCGGCGGTAGAAGTCTCTGCTCTGAATCGGTTCGTTTGGAATGAAGCGGCGGATCCAGGTCTCTCAATTATATAGACTTAATTAAATTACTTTCCAAATCCTAATCTTAATTGGTCAAATATTTTAAAAAAATTATCAATTTAGGATTCGTACCCAATTCCTACCCGATTCGTCTGGATTCGTACCCAATTTCTACCCGACAAATCCAAACCTGTAGATCCGTTTCGGGTATGCCAACAGCCGTCCCCGTCGGCAAATCCGCCCCCGCGTCGCTTCCAGAGCGGGAGGCGGCACCAAACTGCCGAACCCGTGCAACCTAGGATTGAACCATCGTATTTGTTCAATCATTTTCAAACGGATATCATCGTGAGAAGAAACAGAGTCAAGTCAGACCCAAAACCTGACCCAATAGATTTAGCCTTCTTTCTTCTGATTGACTATGCAATGGGGTCTGTTAGCCTTAGTTTGCTAATTCTTGTGTTTTAATATTAGCAAACTATATAAGAGCCAGTGTTTGTTTGAGTGCTTCAGGTACAACAAAAATCTGCTCAGAACCGGTTCACAAAAACAAAGTTGAAACATCAAACTATCATAGAATATAGGTAGAAATAAATGTAAGGATATGAATTTATATACCTCACTCACAAAATATGTTAAACCATCTTGATAGGTTTATGAACCCAGGCCTAGAGTACACTAGGTAGAGAGTAATCGAACAAGCCGAGTATGAGTATGCTTTGATTATAGTATTGATTATGGTCCTCTGATGCCTCCCCTTGAAATGGAAGGGGGCTTATGTAGGAGTTACATGTCTCCAATTATTTGTCACGTAGCCATTGTCTATAATAAGGCCCATGTTAGACTCAATAGGTACGGGGTCCATGACGAGGTATAAAGAATATATGTTCTAATACACACATTGAGATATTGCACGGGTGCATTATTCATGGAGATGTCCATTAGTGGGCCCACAGACGTAGGAATCCAAGTTAATACTTTAGTTTGAAAGGGGCTCCAGACCTGGACGAATTAGGGTGTTACAATTTGGTATCATAGCAAATGCCTTTAAAATCAATATTTGGATCAAAAAAATTGATTTTTAATATATATATATATATATATATATATATATATGTATGTATGTATGTATGTATGTTTGTATATATATGTATGTATATGTATGTATGTATGTATGTATGTATTACATATATATTTTGGTATAAAAAATGTCAATCACATTCACAATTCTCACATCCCTTTGCTCTAGGAAGGTAACAAAAATTTAAGTATTGAATTTAATTGTATTAAATTTCCATATTTGTCAATTGTTAACTCCCAAATGATATCAACTGTCGACTCAAGTCGAACTTTCGTACTCAGCAAGAGAGGAAAGAATAAAGTAAAGTTTATGACCCTCTGATACATTATCAACGTGCGCATCGCATCGCAAGATTAATGAAACAAAAAAATTATCTGCGCCGCAAAGCTGTGTGGGAACGAAACGATCCTGAAGAGATGTTCAGTGTAGACTCTGCGAACAGCATCTGTGGATCCAGTGTGGAAGACCCTTTCATGGACTCGAGATAATAAAACTATTGAAATGCAAACGTTTAGAATTCTTCGTGTTGTTAGTTTCAAATCCTTTGATTGTATCGATTATTGAATCCTTTACAATTTCTGTCATGAACTCAAATACAAGAATCCTAATAAAGGAATTTTTGTTATTGTAGAATGAGTCAAGAAACTGCTCATGGTCAAGGCAACAACAACTAACACGTAAGTCTTCATACCAAAGCGTCTAGCTCCACTCCTCCCGTCCACAATGAGCCTGTCAATCTGCAAAACATCGAAAACAATCCAAACGCTGGTGGTCAACCCGACCTTCTGATACCTGTCTTTTTGGCTAATGTCTTACAACAAACTCCAATGTTCCAACCACCTCCACCACTGCCAACTCGTGTGGTAACCTATAAAACGTTAAGGGATAACGGTGCTGAAATATTCTTTGGGGATCGCATAGCTGAACCCCAAATTGCGTAAGATTGGATTGAGCAAACTGCTCGGGTTTTGGAAGATCTGGGTGTACTAATTGGCAACTATCCAAGACATGCTTCTCAATTACTCTGCCAGGAAGCCTATGAGTGGTGAAAGAAAACTGATGAGAGTGCTGAAACCCCAAAGCCGTGGACTTGGGCATACTTCGAATGGGCTTTCAAACAAGAATACATTCCTAAGAGTTTTTGTGAAGAGAAACATGCAGAATTTGTTGAATTACAAAAGGGGAGTATGACACTCCTTGAATATTGTCAAAAGTTTACCAATCTCGCCAAATGTGCGCCAACATTGGTGAGCACTCCAGTTGATCGAATTGAGGAATTCAGAAAGAAACTTCGACCTGATCTCAGGTCACGGGTCTCCATCATGACCACTGTGGATTTCTCTGCCGCCTATGATCTTATTGTCAGGGCAGACAAGAACTTGAGTGCTTGCAATGAATATCCGAAAGTAAATAATATCGGCCCAAGTAAGCATTGACCCACCAGTTCTGTCTTAAAGGGAAAAAGACCTTTCTCTTTAAGATCTTAAAGGGAAAAAGGCCTTCCCTGTATTAAAAGTAAATTAATAAGTTTCATAAATTAATTAAATTTAAACCATAATAATTTATTAAATAAAAAGTATATTCAATAAAACAAAGTAAATTAAATTAATAAGAAAGTTCCACTAATTAAAAAACACAAGAATATTCTATTTAGCATTGATCTTATTTATTTTTTCTCGTAACACATTTTTTAGATCTCGTAATGTTTTAAGGTCATTTTCAATTACTTCGAGCTCTGCTTTCTCTATCCTCTGCTTCCCCCTCTTCTTCTCTAAGATTGAACAACCGTTTTTGTTCAACCATTTTTAAACTGATATCATTGTGAGAATATCAGAGTCAGACCGAGAACCCGACCCAATTGATTTAGCCTTCTTTCTTCTGATTGACTGTGCAATGGGGCTCGTTAGCCTTAGTTTGCTTATTCTTGTGTTTTTAGCAAACTATATAAGAGCTAGTGTTTGTTTGAGTGCTTCAGGTACAACAAAAATCCATTCAGAATCGGTTCACAAAAACAAAGTTGAAACACCAAACTATCATAAAATATAGGTAGAAATAAATGTAAGGATATGACTTTATATACCTATATTCACAAGCTCCCATGCACTCACAAAATATGTTAAAACCATTTTGATGGGTTTATGAACCCAGGCCTAGAGTACACTAGGTAGAGAGTAACCGAACAAGCCGAGTCTGAGTATGCTTTGATTATAATATTGATTATGGTAAAGGATTCTGATGCATCCCCTTGAAATAGAAGGGGGCTTATATACGAGTTACATGTCTCCAATTGTTTGTCACGTAGCCATTGTCTACAACAAGGCCCATGTCACACCCATTAGGTACAGGTCCATAACGGGGTATAGGGAATATATGTTCTAATACACGCATTGAGATATTCTATGAGTGCATTATTCATTGAGATGTCCATTAGTGGTCCAACGGATGTAGGAATCCAAAGCATCTCTGATTTCATGCCTAAGTCCTGTGACGTTAGAGGTTGGGTGTGAGTCCCGCAGAGGCTGAGTGCGTGTTTTACTTATGATCGAGCCCTTCTTGTCGGAGTAGAGTGATAAAGCCGAGTCCATGCTAGCTGGCAGAGGCCGAGCGTAGCTATATGGTGGACCTTATTCTTTCGATTTGAAGCACTTGAAGGGTCTGCTTCTTACTCAAAAGAGTAAGAAAAATAATAACAAAGCTTTGAGGTGTTAGAATAAAGGCCCAATGCTAGAAGGGAGGTGAATAACATTTAAAAAAATCACAGGAATTTGAAACGAAGTGAAAGAAAGTAAATAGCGTAAGGAAAGAGCACATCGTGTTTTGATAAGTCCATTTTGTTCTTATCATTTACATCATATTCTAAACGTTATTGCACGTATATAGTATTTAATCATCTCATAAAATGTGTTTTCAATGAATAAAACTCTCATTTTCGTTCTAAGAGTCATGAAAAGGTATTCCACATGAAATTATCATAAACCATCCATTTTATGTTCAAATACTTGAGAAAAGGGAATAAATCATCAAGGGATCAAGATTCGGGCTTGAACGAGCTTCCGGGAGGTCAAAAACAGTGTTCGGGACCAAAACGG